CTTTATCACATAAATAAATGAGTAATTAAAATATATGCAAGTAATTAATTACCTATATTATGATGTTGATATTCAGACAATGCAGCTACAATGTCCTATAAAATGTTTTAAGACATATGATTCATCTGGCATAATTTGTAAGGTAAATATAAATTTTAAACTTTTAGGTTTTTATGAGTAACTTACTTTTATTATTGGCACCTTTTCTGCTTGTCTTTGAGTCCATGTCTGATGTTTGAAAAAAGTTTCTAAATCATATAGTCCATATTCACCAATAACAACCATCTTATATGAATCATAATCTACAATTCGCATAATATTCTGTAATAAAAAAAAGAAAATTCAAATACATATATTTGTCTGTTCATAGCAATACATTAAGAAATTACCTTTGCATCTTTCAATGAAATTAATGCATCTATTTCTCTTTTATATGAAACAATACCATAAGATCTTTTTATAATATAATATTCTGTTTCAATAGGTTTTTTATATGCTTTGAACACATTAAGCTTTCTTCTATAATTTCTGCATTTTATGTACATATATTATATTCATTTTAATTTGAAACAAAATCCTTGCAACAATAATAAGTAATAATAATAATCAACAACCAACCTGATTATTTGATATTCTTCATCATTAATAGTAATAATATTATTATTGCCATAATTATTATTAATACGTTCATATTGTGGATAATTCATATTTTAAATTAACAATTATTAACATTAATAAAGGCGTGAAAAAAAATTCTAATTTAACACAAATAAATAATCCCTGTCACGATCTTCCAAATTCGTAGTGTGTGATTAACAGCAATAGAACACAATTAAACACGACAGTCATCACTTAAAGTAGACATTTTTTTTACACCAATTCAATTCCGCTGCATCTTATTGCACATGGAGAAACTTTAAACTTATCCACATATATATTAAAAGCGGCACAGGAATGGGTCAATAAAAATGGGCAATATAGAAGATGAAGAAGATACTAGTGTGAGCAATAGTAATATATAAAAAAATAGACCAAAGAATATTTATCGATGGCTTCCTACGCAATTGTTCTGGTGTTTTTTATCTTATAATTTTTTTTTACTAATATTTGGGCATTTGTAAAACGGGTGTATATTTCGTAGAATATATTAATATCAATAAAGTATTAACGAAAATCTATATAGCCGATTTTGGAAACAATGACAACGATAGGCAATAGTTGTGCATGTGCAATGTTTATAAATTAAAACAATGAAAATGTAACATTGATATTTTGCAAAAACCACTATTGGTCTACTTGAAGCTTTCTACATTCAAAAGAATCACATATTAAAATTTCTGGCAGTAATGGCCATGCCAAGAAATTAGGTAAGTTAAATAGTAAGTTTAATTCGTGTGTAGAAATCTATTAGAGATAAGCTATATAATTTTTCCTCAAAATGGAATCTCACGCCTTCGTATAACTAAAACCACAACGCATATCAACACACACAAAAGCATAGTAATAGTAATTTTTATTCCCAAAAGTTTATATTTATTTTAGTATATATTATTATTATGGACATTATTTATAACAAATAATAAGAGCTTTAATAAAAAAATGGATTTTGATAAAAGGTAATGACCGACATATTTATATTAAATATAAAAAAAACTAAGCTTTAGACTAGTGATATCAGCCGGCTAAGCCGGCTAAGGAATTTTTAAACGGCTTAGCCGGCTGGAAATTTTTAATTCAAAATTTTATATAAATAAATTAGTTGTATCACTAATTTTTATAAAAAAAAAAATAATGACTAAAAGAAAAAAAACCACCACTAATTCCACTAATTTGTCTAAAAAAACACATAATACTC